GTTGCCCCCTGTCTTATTTTGCTTATAGCGGGCAGGGAAATGATTTGCAAATTCTGAAAACCAATTTGCAAATGTTTGCAAATTATTTGCAAAATTTTGGTGTCATTTTGAAATCTGTAGCTCACAAGGGGGGGCTGCGTGAAGTTGGCCCCCCTGTCTTATTTCGCTTATAGCGGGCAGGGAAATGATTTGCAAATTCTGAAAACCAATTTTAACGTAAAAATTATTTATGAATTATACCCGGATACCTAGTTAGTACTTAGTTAAAACCTAATCTTACAGCATACATTTTAATTAAATATTATGTAATTTTAAATTAGCAAATATACCAATTTTTTTTTACCAATAAAATGTTTCCATTAATTTGATAATGTTAAGTAAATTATACCAAGAGGATTTCGATGCACTTTGTGTTGTTTTCCGAATCTACAGATACGCGATACTCGTTTTAAAACTAACACAAATAGAATAAGAAGTTTTTATTTTGAATTTCTTGACGGTTTTAAATTTTAAGGTCATTTTTTGCATTTTAAGATTTTTGGAGCATTTTGAAGTTTTTTTTTAAATTTAAATTTTACACTTTGTTTTAATATTTGCGCAATATGCTTTTACATGATTTTTATAACAAATATATGATCTAAACCTATATAAAAAAGAATAATTAATTTTCAGATTAAAGACGTCCAAAACGATCAGTTCTGTCTGTAAAACTTTTTACAATCCTTTAAAAGTTTAAAATGTATACCTACTATAATTTATACCAAATTTATATTAGAATTAATTAAATATTTTATATTAAAAATAAAAATAAGTTAGCGCACTATTTTGAAATGATTAAGGCTTTTTTAAAGTTTTTTTAGGACATTTAAACCATCAATAATGATTAGGATAATTGGCGCAGAAAAGCTAAGGGGGGTGCAACTGTCCCTACTTGCCACCCCCCCCCCCCCCCGCCTGTGGACGCCCTTGGATCTACTACCTCGTTTTGGGTGTATCAGGTGATCTATCGTATTATACTAGGTGTAGTTGGTGACCTACAATTATTATTACCTATTATTATATTATATTATATTATTCTAGGAGAGATATAAATTTGTTTTATGAAATAGTGAAATTAAATACTAAGTTTGAATTTGTATATTTTTGCATAATATTTCGTCATATTCTAAGAAATGCAATTTTTAGCATATTGGGCTATTATGTTTTACTTTTATTTTTAAAAGTTTTTTAACTAGGTTTTGTGGGGCCCTGATGCGAAAAATTTGGGGCGACCGTACATATATAACAGAATTGTATAAAAGATTTATTTACAATATTATTTCTATATGGTCAATAGGAACCAGTCCTTATAACTTTTTGTTACCTTGTGATTAGGTACTGATTTGACATTTAAATTGGCAACAAAAAAATTATAATTAATTCTCTAATTCTGCGCCACGTGGTTTAACATGTGTGTACCATCTGTACCTATGTTTATTAAGAACTGTATTTATTTGGCAAAGTATTTGCTTGGAATTACAGTTTCAAACCAATAAATGAATATTTAAATATAACATTTTTACATAACCTATCTAAGGTTTATTTTCATTTTTTTTTCGAATAGTAGGTACCTTACTTAATTTTTCCTTTGATGATCAGCTCCCCATTTGAACATAAAACCTGGGCAGGGAGTGCATACCTTACCTACCTTATTGGCTTATTGTTGTGTCACCGGAAAATTATTTTAATTTTATAATTAGTGCGATATTTAAAGAGGATTATGTCCTACACTCATACCTAAAAAACAATATTCCAGAACAAGTGACATTTGATGGTGGCCATTTCAAAATTAAATTTTCTCTTTGGGGTCTTGGGGAGTTAGAAGTGAATTTTTTTTTTTCTATATTTGTGGTTATAACAGATACCTAAGTATAATATTGTATTCTTCACCTCTGAAAATGTCTAAGTCATCAATGGCATAATGAACTGTTCTAGCTGTTCTCGGCATTTACATTCATCAAACTGTTACAACATTTAAAAAATCACAGAAGTAACTTATACTTACCAGCTTTAGCATATATTATAGGAATATGAACTTACGGATCGTTAATGTAGAATGTTGGTATGTACAATGTTCGTATATCCTTAACCACACATCAACCAATTAATAATTAATGTATGATCCACGATGCATTGGTAAAAGTAATTTTATAACAAACAAAAATACGCGTCTTATTGTTCTATGGTATAAGTTTTAAGTATGACTCACTCTTAGTTCTCATTATTATAAATGTTTGATTATACAACCTATATTTACTGGGCTAATATCTAATTAATAAATTAGATGAAAAACATCGCATACTCATATCGTTTGCTGGAACGATTAGGCTGCGAGCTACTCGCAACAACAATTTAAGAAAAATACTGGACACTGAAGCATTTAAGAGGATTGATTGCCTTCCGCCTTTATACTTCATAAATAGGCTTCAGAACTTATTCCACTAAAAATTTTGGAAATATGTATGCACGTGTGCACCTAAAATAACATTAATATACACAAAGATTTTATAAGATACTATTACAAAACCTTGGTTAATTAAATTCTAAGTTCTAACAATGTCTTAAGATTTATAATTCTATATTTAATTTTGAGTAACCAAATATTGCCCATCTGCAAGGTCATTTCACTAAATTTATAAAACAAAAAACCATTGTGCTATGACTCAAGTAGGCACTATATCTAATTTTATATTGACTAACATCTAACTGTAAACAAATAAGGTTGACTATCAAAATGTATTTACTTGAAATAAAACGTTAAATGAATAAATATGCTAAAAATAAGAAATGGTCTAAAAAATAGCAAAATACATTTTTGTATTTGAATTTGATATGTTCCAAAACAAATTTATATCTTAATTTGAAGTCATAATTCTAAACCATATTTAAAATTCCAAATCTTGTTCATAAATAATAATCTAGTCATTGTGAACCACCACAATCACATTAAACAATATTCTCTATCGGAATACCTATCTACAGTATAGATAATGCATAATATAAATAGGAAAATAAATGAGAAAACTCAATTTTAAAAGGTCACCAAAAAAAAAATGTATAATTCGTCAGTCCTTTTAGAATTAATACAATGATTTGTCAGTAATAATCTTTGGTACAAAACTTATTCTCAAGAAAACACGAAAAAAATAAACCAAAATCATTACATATTTTGTTTTAAGTTTGATACACCCAAATCAATATTGAAAAATAAATAAAAATAAAAAATTCAACAACATAACTCTAACAGAATGTAAAAAAAAAAGAAAAAATAATAATAAATAAATAATAATAATCATTGATTAACACACTAAAATAATAATATTATACACTACCAGTTTGTTAAATTAAACATACTCCTTAAGTAATATAAACTGAAAACTTTATAAGGAACATTTAGCAGCTAACTTAACGATCATAATGCGCTTAAAATTTACAACCTAACATAAAAAAAAAAAAAATAATATTAAAAAACAAAGATTCATCAAAGAGGAAAAATACATCTGTGTTAAAAACCTAAAATAAAGTTTTGATAAATTCGCATAAACCACCAAGTTTAAGATAATATTAAATTTGTTAATTATTATTTTACATTAAAAAAAATATATGAATGTATAACTATGCAAGAACACATTAAAGTTAATAATACTTGATAATGATTTGAAATTAGTAATTTAATTAAGTTTATTTTGCGTAAAAACGCATTAATATAATAATGCAACGACCTATCAATGTGGTAAACTAAGTTGAAAAATTGCGGTTTTTAACTTTGAACCTATTTCAGACAAAATATAAAATTTTTCTTTTTTTTGGATAAAATACTATCTATCCATCTACCTTTAAATACAAAAACGACGAGAGGATAAGATTTTTTAACAAGATGAGCTCTTTAGTTCACCAAGCTCGGCAAGCAGTCTATGGTTGATATTGGGACTTGGACTATTGGTTTTTCCATTCGTCATTTGGTACCGTTCTTTGAGCTGGCTTAAAGCATTCAACAATCGGTTGTTAGCCGCATCCAATGCAGCAATCTGGTGTTCTTGAGCCTCAATCACGCGCTGCTTGTGAGTTAGAGTGTCAGACATTTTGCGCTGCTCACGTCTCAGTTCATCTTCTACAGACATCAACCTGAAAAATAATAGCAAAGTTTAATTTGTCGTTGAAGTAGACACAATGCTACTAACCTGGCTATTATGTTTTTCATATTATCTGGTTCATTATCAATAATTTCTGGCGAATCTGGTTCAGATTCCAGTTGCTGTTCGGCCTGTTCTAACTTCAACTTAAGTATTTGCACATTGGTTTGAAGACGTTCAATTTCTTTCTGGTACTGAATTTATATTGTTCATATAATATAAGTAAAATATAATTAACTAAATATTACTTACGCTTATCTGATCAATAGAGCGATTAGTTTTCAAATTGTTGGCAATATTTTGATTTCTTGTGTCTTCATCTTCAGAAGAGTCTTCAGACATCCCACGACTAGAATCAATGGACACACGCCTTCTTATAGGCATTTCAGCAGGGCACACTTTTTTAACATCTGTTTAAAACATTTAAACAATTCTCAATCAAAAAAATCCACAATAACATTAATGATCATGACATACCACCAGGTGCACATTTAGGATTAGGGCTAACTCCGTTGACTTTGCTCGGAGACCATTTCCAAGCTAAGGATCTAGCCATACCACCACCACCATTACACTGTGGATTAGTTCTTGGAGCACGATGGGGTGGTAGGAATCTTGGGGCTACTTGAGCTACTTTATCATTAACTGGATTATTCTCATCTTCAGAAGAGCTACATGATCGTGGCCGCTGTTTTCTTTGGTGATGGTGGTGGTGGTGGTGGTGATGATGATGTTGGTATACAGGATTGACAAATGCCAGAGGAGGCAAAGCAGCATTGCCATTAGCCAAAGGCGGTTTGCTATTGTTATTGGTCAAATCAACAGGACTTGAGCTCTGACTGTATGCTGCAAAACTCTGATAACCAGAGGATGCTACATTTGATAATGTGGAAATGGACATTTGGCTCCCCTTTTGTTGTGGGTCGATTTCAACATCAGAATTGTGACCATTATTATGATTGATGTGATGAGGAGTGAATCCATTGTAAGTGGTAACTGGTTCATCAAATTTCAGCTTAGGACAAAGTTGTAGGTTAGGTGAACCAGGATTGGACGAGAAGAATGCATTGCGGGGAAGAGTTGATGCACGTGTAGTATTGGTCATAGGACGTTTTTCACACAATAGTGTTGAACTTCCAACCAAATTATTTGTGCTGTTCAAAGAAGGTCCTTGTGTTGACCCATACAAACGTTGAGCACCATCTTTCAATGTTGGATCATTATATCTAAAATTAAATACAAATAAAATATAATTATTGTTAAATACAAATTATATTTGATGATTTGATTTTCATCCTACAAACCTAAAAATGTTTTGATGTTGCACAGGCTGGTAAATATTATTCTGATCATTAGATGGTTGATTTTCAATATAACTTTTTAATGGAGTTCGAACTCCAGTGGGCTGAGCAAGTGCTAACTGTATTCTTTCCAGTATCATGTGCAATTTTTCTACTTCCTGAAGACGCACTGGAGATATTTTTTCCACACATTCCATTAACAATGTATGAAGTATGCTCAATTGTTTTGCAAGGTCGATGTGTCCATCAAACTCAGTTGAGTGGTCTTGTGGAGTTGAATATCCATTTGGTACAGGACTCTGCAAATGTGATGAGACAGTTTATAAATAATGTATACAAAATAAAAATGTGTATATATTTTTTAAAATAAAATTGTCAATAATTAGCTTAAGATTGAAATTGAAATTGACACTCACAGATATAATTTTCAAGAAAGATTTCATTGAAGCCGCTTCGCGTTCCAGAAAGTCGTTCATAAACTCCATAAAATTTTCTTTTCCTTGAAATCGAGTGAAGTTAGCCAAGGTTTGCAGTGTTTTTGCTACCAATGTCAAATTCCGTGCTGCTTTTTCATTAGGATACTCTATGAAAGATATTAAAAATCATTAAAATAAATGTTGCACATTATATAAATATAAATAACTTACCATGTGTTATGTTGAACAGGCTAGGAGACAAGATGGCTGGGCACAAAAATCTCAAAAAAATACATGCTGAAATTAAATTGTCACTAATATCGTGGCGTCCAGAACCGTTCATACGTTCACGGAACCTTGTAAAACACTCCCGAAGTTCACTATAACAAAATCAACATTTTAAATGAAATAATATGTTATGTAGTTATAAAAATGTATTTAATTTCTTACAATGGAAATGACGTATGAGACGAGAGTATACGATTCCATGTGGTTTCAACAGCATTTCTTAAATTAGCCTGCTGTTTTGCCAAGTTTGACGCACTACCAGCTTTTAAAGGATCCACTTCGCAATCAAAACCAGTTTGCATGACATTTGACACTAGTTCACTCAGAGTCTCATGTAAATACTTTTCTCCAGTCAACTTCAAGTATGCTTCCATTGCCTTAGTGGCTAGCGAATTACCCCTGAAGGTCAGGCGATCATCTTCGACCTTTTCAATATCCATCATCACAATGTCAGACAGGAACTCTTTAGCTAGGTTCTCCTTTTGCATGACATGCACCAGAGCCGTGGCGATGTCTTCTTTGGCCTTTACACCAACAACAGGTTCCAAGATTTCACAAATGGTTTTGTAGTCTGTTCTCAAATACTACACAACAATAAAATATTATTAGTTTTGAGATTATAGATTGATTGGGTACTCGGGTTCAGTGATTTGATAATTAAAATTCATTAAAATCACCTGTAAGAATTCTTGATAGATTTGTACGGGCAGTATGTCGACACTCTGAAAACGGCATTTCACTCTTAAGGACGGAGGGTCTTTGAGGGTTTTCTCCATGGTCACCGGATACCACTTTTCGGTAAGGAATCTGGAAGTGACATCGTGTACCGGAATGCTGACGGTCCCTGTAAGTACAGGGGAAAAAAACTCTTAGCTAGTATATTTTAAAAAAATATTAAGTATAAACTAATATAGTATGCCCATACCGACTAAGAAGCTTTTATCCTTTTTCTTCTTCCGCTCGCCTTCTCGATACAAATGCACATTTATGACGTTCACTTGTGGTAGACTGGTGAAATCGAAGTGTTCGCCCCAAAAACAGAGTTCTGATTTCTGTTTTGATGATGTTCGAGCAAACAGCGTTTTGTCTAGACATAGCTCGCAAAAATACCTGCGCAGGTCAGTATTCAGTATTAATAATAATATGAATAACTTTGTGATGTTCAATTAAAAAAAATTATAAAGGTACTGTTTATTATAAGGTGTCTTTAAAATTTCACAAAAAGTAATACTTCAATAAGAAATCTAGTGAAATTAAATTTTGTTCTTGCTCTACTGTACAATTTAGAAAAATTGACAGTGCCTTTTGTAATTACGCCCACAATATGTAGTTGATAATAGTCTATTACAGCAGTTATCAACCTTTTACTACTGAATACCACTTGGCACATTTTGTATGACCAATAGGAGCGCCATAGAAATTATAAAAAGTAAATAAGGGTGAGTTAATAAAAATAATAAATTAATATTTAAACAATATTATGACCTTTATTATTAATTCATGGATTAAAATTCTATTGTATGTATATAAAGGAAAAAATATATACAAATCAGAAGAGTAAAAAATAGTAATTTTTTTAACGTAGTTCCATACGTACCACCGGTTGGAAACCACTAGTCTATTCAATAATGATTAATAATGTTTACTACACTAATTTCCAGTGCCAATTTTTGTAACTAAAGGGCATATCATAATGTTGTAGTTGTTATATTGCCTAAGATAATCATAGAACGCAATTTGTCTTAAGTTAATTTTTTTTTTAAGGAACCATATTTTCATAATCTGGAGTAAAATAATATCAATATTGTCAAATATTGAACTATTTGTTTTATTTACTTATAAGCATTTTGAGTTTGGATAAACGTAATAGTATATTATGAATAATAAATATTTTTCAATATTCGATATTAATCATACATACATCAACATTTGAATTGTTTAGAAAAATTTAATTGGGGAATTAAAATTATAGGTTGCGAAAACCTATTATTACTGGTTACAGAAAAAAAATTAAGTAGGTTTACCTAAGAAATCATTTCGACATAAGCTATTCAATCATGTTAGTTTTGTAAAACTGTAACAGCTTTCTTCTTTATTTTTATTATCAAAATCAATATAATAAAAACTGACACAATCATAGTGTGTAGTAAGTTGTAGGGAAAATAGACGATCTCATACCTTTTCTTGTTAGCCAGCCCTTTGGCTTCTAGAATCCATATTTTCAATGCGTTTTCCGTGCGGCGTATGTGCTCTTGGTCGGGTTGTACGGATTTCCTCAAACTGTGCAGAAAACCGATGTTATTGTAACGGAAATCGACTGAATATTTGAACATTTTCAAAAAAACGTACCTGTACACCCATTTGTCGCGTTCTTCGGCTGTGCGGCACGAGAAGTACCTCGTGTTACCCGCTGGCAACGTCACCTGGAAACAGTTTTCCCGGCCCAGCACGGACGGGTGTAGAGGTTTGATCTCCACACCGCCGCTGCTAAGGTCCAGCGATTGCATGATGCTCTGCGACTGGCCAGACAGAAGCGACTCGTGCGAACGGGACGTCCTCAACCTAGGTCCGCTGCCCGGGCTGACGTTTCTGCGACGAAAAAACGTAATTTTTTGTTATTATTGTTGTTCTTTAAATTCCAAACCCGTGATGTACCAGCCATCTCCTTTATATATTATTACAGACATAAGGCTATTGTGTCACGCTCCCTCCCTCCTCATAAGCGAATTTTAATTTAATTGATATTTCCCCAAATAAATACCAATGACTCATAGCTACAGATTAAGTGTAACTGGGAAAATATATTTATTTTTTTAAGCTCGGAACACAAAAATTGTTTCAACCGATTTATTTTTAAATATATTCAAAGTTTAACTTATTTCCAAAATATAGTATTCAAAATGTAACGCTAATTTTAGAGTATGGACATGAGCCACGTAAAGTGTATGGTGATATATTATACGTGAGAGGGTGCAGTGGTGCAGAATTCTAAAAAAAAATAGAATTTTTCGGCAAATAGACGCATTGACCCATCTAACGTGAGGTATCGCACATTATTACAAGTCCTATAATGAGCAAGACAGTAGGACTGCATCCCACCCTATTACAGATATTGTCTTAACAACACCTGTTAGTGGGGCTCAGCGCCACTGAAGGGCGGTATTGAAAATCTATATTAAATACATACAAACTATAATTTATAATTATATTATTACTTTACTTACCCATCAGATTCCAGCGCTTTTTTTCGCTCCAACTTTGTGACGCTCTTGGTCCGTTTTAGTGGATTTGACCTGAACGAACGTTTTGAAAAAAAATTCTGTTGACAAAAAACTACATGGTAAGTAAACGTCGATTTATCACAAATCAGCAATTTACAACGGGAGAGGGAGGAGTATATTTAAAAATATTTTATAATATATTTATTATAAAACGTTTACGTTTTTATAAAAAAAAACGTCAAAAGGAAGTTTTAACACCCTACAACCATAATTTTAAACTCATGTCATCTTAAAGACAACAAAATCATCTCGATCGATTTACGAGTAGGCATAAATAACCCGACACGCTACTTATACAAAAGTTACAAGCAAATAATACATCACACAACACTGTGCAACGGCACTATCGGCTTACGACATCGTTCCGGGCCATGCTCGGATGATAACAGTTATTTGTGTTCTGAGTGAAAGTTTTAAATGAGGTACTTTTTTTCCCAAACGTGGAACTATTATTTATAATTGTGTGTATACATAATATTATATATATTATATTATATTGTGTTACGCGCACGAAATAGAATAAATCGCGTCACCATATCCTACAATCTAATGCCCAAAACAACAGCTGCCAGTGTGGGCGCAGTGCGCGAGTTTGAAAACGCTTTTCATCCGCGACCAACCCATCACATGCACACCGACGGACAATACATAGTATTATGGTGATACAAAACAATGCAAAACAATATTTTGTTATATGTGTATGATAGCGCTCGTGTCCCGGAAAGTCCATTCATAATAATATTATATAGCACATTGCACATATAGGTACACCGATATAAAATAAACATGAATGTTTTTGCCACCGAGTGGTTTTATTGAAGGGCAAATCTCTGATCCATTTTTCTTATATTATGAACATGATGCACCCAGTACGTAACGTATAATAATAATACGTTAATTATTGTACCCATAGTTTACCTATATCACGGAGTAATTAATATTCAAATATACACATTGCACACCTCATATAAAATGAGTATACAGATGCAGAAGTAGAACTAGGAATGTAAAACAGAAGCTACAGTCAGCTAGACACAAGAAATTCACCTATGGTAGTCACGTATACTCGTAAATTTTATATAAATTAAACACCTAATAGAAATTTCAAATAGTTACTATAAACAATAAACACATTATAAAAAAAAAGTGAGCCATCGCGGGATGTTCGGCAGATGTGAAACATCGAAATTATTTTATAAAGAAAATATGCATAAAAATTGAAAGGATGTAAAGTAAATGAACATGACATAATCAAAAACAAAATATTCAGATTATTTTAAGAAAAATTGTTTTTTATTTTAAAGGCATATTATAGATATTTCGCGCGTTGCAAGCGTAGCCACACCAACAGCCGGTCTCACCCTACGCATTAGATTATTTATTAACAATATATAACAATATTTTTTTAACAACTAATAAACGAGAAAGTATCAAATGCTGGGCCAAATGGACTATGCATGGCTTGATGAACGTGAAATTAGACGAAGAAAATAAAATCAATCGTTTTCCTGTCACGCTTGAGTAGTATCATTTTTTACGGTTATTGAAACCATTATTTTTCTGCATAATTTATAATTGGCTGATCGACGTGATACAGGGAAATGGGTTGAAATGTTTTCCATCATCAGCATAAATGTACGATATTTTTATGCATACCGTTATAAGTACAAAAAAAATTCATCAACATCAACGAATTTACAGTTCAGAATTGTTTTAAATGTTAAAATGTTATTATTCGAAATTACTACGAAATATGGAACGGTTATTTTTTATATAATTAAAATCAAATATAATTCTGGATTGTTACACAATCTCAGCCAAGGTTCTTAGTTTTTACCATTAAAGACTATAACATGACGCTATATAGCATGTACTAATAACGAATTTTCCCGGCATTGGTAAATATATATAATTAATAGAAATAATTGCCCTGGAGGTGCTAGTATTATAACGACACTTGGCGATCACAATGGATTTACAAATTGCCACAGGCGAATCCTAGGTGGCGTCATTTGAACACAATTGAAGTAAGTACCAAATTGGTACGTACCTACTACGAGCGTCTCCGCGTGTAATAAATACATATTATATTATGAGACCCAATTATACACAGCTCTGCGTAACATGAATACACGTGTATCTAGCACCCACTTGGTAAATACATCATCACCATTTCTGAAATGTCCTGATAATTTCTAACAGATCTAAAATTACTGTAAGGCATTACCATTGATTACAAATACGTATAAAAATACGTTAAATATGTACATTTAATCAATGGTATTACTTTTCATAACATGAGCTGGAATGACTTTTCAAAATAATCATGAATTTCGTGAAAGGAGTATAAAATAAAATCAGTAAGACAAAATTGTACGGATAGTATGAAATTCGTGCCTTTACTTTATGATAAAATATTCATACTATACGAAGACACGAAGTTGATATTTATATATTGTCACTGTATTATGATTTACATATAAAATATAAGTATATATATAATATTATTTATTCGTTATAACACATTTCTAAAAATGTACGCCGGTTACTTTTATTTGTTTTCGAACGATCGATAGACAATTTGCATATTCCTGTTCAATATTATGTATCGTAAAGCACACCTTTCTTTATTTTTTGGACTGCCGCGTGCACGTCCGACAAAGTGGATCCTTTGAATTTCCTCATAAAAATAATTAGTACCTGGCTAACTACCATAAAATATATATTAATGTGTACAAGTACACCGATTCTGTATTACAGCGGATGCGCGCACGTTTTACGCTAGTTTGTTTGATGAGTCAATTTAGTTTTACGAGCGGAAACCCAAAGTCATCGCGTTGACATTAATTGTCCGTATCTATCGCGCCATCGAGCATAATCATTTTCATACAAGACAATCTCTTTGAAGAATTTCTTCACTCATTTTGAGACCAAAACGTCAACGTTGGACATTCCTTACACAGAATATGTCCGCACGAGCCGTTATTAGCGCACGCGGTACCCGACGAAGACATTTGTCGGTCGTTCCAATTTCACAATGAAAAACAAACACGTCCGAAAAACGATCTTGGCCAGATGATCGACGTTATGGGTACAAGCATTACGAGTTATACTCTACGATACATAGGTAGATACGCCTGAGAATTATACGTTTCGCACAGAATATAAATATGGTATTCCTAATATTATTATGATGAACAATCATAATTACTAATACACAGTAATTATTATTATATGTGCTGCTATAATAATAATCATTTATTAATAACTCACCACAATTCTAGAGGGCGTGAGTTCCAGAGACCTGGTGTTGCCGAGCACTGGAGTCGTGGGAGCGCTTCCTCGGCGACAGGCTTTTTCGTACGAAGTGTCTGCAAAAACGATAAAAAAAACAAACGGTCAATATAAATTTTTTTGATTTTGACTTTTAAACTTTACACAAAAGATACACATGACAATAATAATCAAAACGAACGATAATGTATGGCGGCGTGTGGTTGTATAATATTATACAATGACTACGACGATATTCGTTGGGGGTTTTTATTTATTATAATAATTTTTTGGTTACTGACACTCTGAACGCGCTGTCGGTATTATAGGTACCTAAAAGTATTATGAGGACGGTTAGTATAACTGCGACGAGACGACAGCGACACGACACGACACAACTGGCGGACGAGCGAAAGCCAAATGATGTATAGAAAGCGCGGATAGATGCGTGCTGAAAAAAAAAACTCTCCACGACAGATTGATCATGCAGAACGTCGTTGTCGTCGGTAATTTCTCCTCAACGGTCAACAAATAATAATATCCTATAAGGTATACACACTCTCACGCGCGAGCACTTATATAAATATTCATATTTCACATAGATAATATAAACGGTGTTATTATTATATGAGCAATAGTGCTATACGAATTGAGAGGACACGCCATTTACGGCTTCGTTTCGAGGATTTTAAACAGGCGAATTTTTATAGGCAACGAAAACTCATCGGTAACATTAAAAACGATTTAATTGTTTTGCGAGAACCAATACGGTATTGGTTTATTATTATTGGTTTATTTTCTCGGTGATCAACGAATTGTAATAATAGCATTAAGTACGTTTTTTATATAATATATAAAAGGGAAAACAAACGTGCCGGTTTCTTTTCTGATAACTGCGATTTAACATTAATTTTTGTTAATCCATATGAATTACCATTATGTAGGTGATTTCGAGAAGAAACAAAACCTCTATTGCGATGAAAAAGTATTTATAATAATAGTTTTTGTCCAGGGTAAAGGTTTTAGTCTTCACATTATAAATATAACATAATTATATATCTAGTGGCGATGGTCCGCATACATTTTTCAGTTTCGTAAGAGCAACGATTGCGTACTCTCATTGTGTGTGAGCACAATATTCCTCTTTCAGGGCACGACAGTAACCTATGCGGGGAGGGACACAGTGAGTCTGTTGTCGTTTCAGACTTCAGTTGTCACGTACAAGCCGGCAGCGCGCAACGGGTAATATTCGTCCGTATTTCATTCCTTTGAGGGTGGGGGTAAGGAATGAAATACGGACGAATTTTGATGATAATATATTATTATTATAACAAAAGCGTCAACGAACTCTTGCGGTTCTTTTATTTTTTCCTACTCGGCACTGCGTATATTGTGTATCATTGTATAGTGATAAATGATAATACGCAGGACGACAACGTTTTTGTGTTACGTTATCCGGAGACGGAGAGAGAGAGAGAGAGAGAGAGAGAAACACAATAATAATGATAGTAATAAGATACTAAGCAATTTTAATACATTCTCACGTTCGAAAACATAACTTCGTATCATTATCGACAATACCGAATGATCCATCATCGATTGGTTATTAAACTGTACAATATAAGTTTGTGTGCCCCCCCCCCCACACAACACCTCCCCTGACGGATACTTTGTTTGTGAGAAATGTCCACTCTCTTTACCAACTGTATTTTCGTTAAGTTTTTATATTGTATTCGGCTGCGCAATATATATTAATAATAATAAGCAAACTCGCGAACACATAATCCGACGCCGATATTAAACAAGAACTTTATTCCGCGGCGCGTATCGTTTTGGGAAACGGTCGTCGGCATAAATGGCTTGCAGCTGGCGACCCTCGTCTATCTGTGTATGACGATATTATGTAATTATATTAATATTAATAAATAGATGCTTACATTAAAGTGTCCCGTTAGTGTATTATATAATGGCCAGTTGTAATAAAAACACAACGGCGCACTTACTCCTAAAAAGAAACCATACAAATACAGCATAACATATTATACCAAATATTACAATATGTATAGGAAGTTAATATTTAGACATCCAATTAGTACACCTAACTAAATATTAAACTTCATTTACATGGATTTATTTTGTCACCGTTTTTTCCGAAGTAACCAAATATATACATATGGAAAACAGAAATTTGAAACGAAAAACGTTTTTTTTATTGTATTATATAGCTACGCTTATATTATAATTAACATGGGTGTATATTATGTGTACACGGTAAATTAGTTCGAACACTTGACACACAATGGTAATAATAATATGATGTTATATTTTATATACACATAATATTAAGCATACAGCCATCATATCCAATTGAGTATATTATTTTATAAATTTAAAAATTTCAAATTTTTTTAACGTTTATTGACAAGAATTATTATAATTGTTTAAGAAAATACAAGATAAATTCTTATCAAAATTACACACCATATAATATCATAAATGTACACTTGACAAAGTGAAATGTGAAAATTATGTTTGGAGACTGAACACGTTACATTTGTCTACAACGATCGTCTGTTTTTAAAAATCGGGTTTAAACAAATTGTATTATATTGTGCACGCGAGTCACAACATCGAGGGGCGGAACCATATCGCGCGGTATAAAAGATTGGTGACAACAGACGTAACAGCTGATGGGAAAGGGGAGCGGGAGGTAGACCTTGACTCTTGATTATTAACAATTAAAAAACCGACTAACCTTTCGACGTCCAAACCGCCGCTTCGATTTGATTTTTTTTTTTAAACGATCGACGTTCGCAGTCGGTTCGGTATAATATTATAATACCGTACTTGGTTATTGTGATATTATGAGACATGTATTGACGAAATGTAATTTAATGGCAAGTCGAAAAGTTCCGTTAAGATTCGAAAAAATAATAATATTACGTCCGGTAATAATACGCGCGAGATTCGTTGGGCGTAGGCGTACATTATCGTATGTACCGATTTCCCGATTTCTTCCATATTTTCTATTTTTTTTCTTTATATTTTTTCGATGATAAAAAACACTTTATTCCGTAGCGAGTGCCGGTGTGTGTACAATAATATAGATTGTTATGTTAAATACTTAATAGTCATCAGTGCAAACAGTCTACAGTATACAATTAATATTGTTTTTAGTGCACGCACAACTATCGGAGAATTCAAACGAAATTGATAGTTCTTAATTATTATTTTACCAAACACTCGATCACTTATGGTTTGGTTGGTTACCAAACTTCGTCAAGTTCACGAAAAATAAAATCATCTGGAGGTCCATTCGAATCGAAATTTGAGTTTTGTTTTCGAAACGACCGTTAATTTAACAACGAGATTTCAGTGAACGATTAAGAATAATTATTACCACCGTGTGTCCGTGTTTGAACATAATATTTTATAATACTATTTTACTATACTTAAAATATAATACAATAAAAATGTATGCGGTTTAATGGGTGCTGTTACTACAGCACAGTACATCGAGTCTACACCATACGCCGCTTTGTTAGTGTAATACTGTAATCGCTCATAATATTTTCTCGGCGGCTAATCGCATTATCCACTCTGCTACTATTATAATATAAACGATATTATTTAGTTTCGTTATTTCCGTTTTTTTTAGTATGTTTTTTTGTTTATTGCACAATGCATAGTTCAACCTTAAAATGTCCATTACGCACATTTAACACGAGCACGCTGAAAATACAACCATTCGCATTTCAAGCATTGTTAACGTATTTCAAATAGACAAAAATACACTCGAAAAAAACAGGTTTGGAGATAAAAACATTTTATTTGAACCCGTTTAGAGCTTAAAAAATAATAATAATGATGATATTAAATTTATCAACTCGAATATCGAATGATACCATTGAGTATACAATGTTTTTTCAATGTGCAGACCTTGCGTACAGCGCGGTTGAATAGGTGGGGGAAAATTAATTTCCAAGACCGCACAAAACACTCAAGAATATTCATTATTTAGTACTATACCGAAACAAAAGTTTTTGAAAAAATAGAAATCACATTATAATTAGACCAGCAACGGTAGAGTATATTTAAACAATCAGCGCAATCCGCTTGAATAACATCAACGATTTGATTTTGACCATTCGGTAGATGGATGAGCATGAGAAATAATAATTATAAAATGTTTTTTGTTTTGGTGGACGCGACTATGCCACAGAATAGAATAATACCGTCACCAGCTGCAGCTCCATCGAGTTTCGTATTTGTGAGCACATTATTTTTATCTATCGATGCGTTTTTTGGATCATTTTATTTTCGTTTTTATTAATGTTAGTATTTCGTCACCCCACTGTCCGAACAACTATCCTGCGCGTCGAGGTCGAAGCGTGAGCTGCGGTACACACGATATATTGACGTTATATAACAATAATAGTATAACATATTGCTACAATATTATAAATATTTGAGAACAAACCGAAAATCCCATTCTGCTGTTGGAACGGGAAACGAGGGTTTCCTGGATTTCTACCGGATGCAACGGTGAGTGGCGGAAGGGGGAGAGAAGTGACCGGAGATCCTCTACATTGCGTTACGCTTTACGCAACAGGCAACGTTCCCAGATTGTTTGCTGGATACGTCGTGTCAAAAGAGTGCAAAAAGTAGCTGCAGTCGAACGGAATAAACGGCTTAAAATGTTTTGGTCAAAATTAAAAATATAAAAACCTAATGCGTTCGGTTAGTTTGTATGTGCATTACATACGCGTCGTACAGAAAGGGTCGCTGCAGGGGAAAGAGGCACGTCGGCGTCTGACATAGGTACACATAATAATATAATAATCATATACACAGTACACACATAAAAACGACCCGTTGTATAACCGGTTCCGAACCATAATAACACGATTCCGTAAGATACGAAAACCAGTATAGGTATGCACACACACACACACACACACACACACACACACACACACACACACACACACACACACACACACACACGATCGTCGGCCGTTTCACACAAACCGGGTGGACAAAAATATAATAAGAAGAAAGAAAGGAAAATAAAGATATTATTTTACCTCCTCGACCG